GAAATCGGGAAGTTGAGTTCCAATTGCTGTCGTGTTCATTGTATACATTTACGCGAACATGCCTTTCGGAAAGGTATGAATGCACTTCTCTAAAAAGCCTTGCAATCTAAGAAAATATTGTCTTGCTTTAACTAATATGTAAAATTTGATAAAGCCTTTTTCAAACACAAATCTATCACGAGAGCAAATAATAAACAAAAGAGGGAGAGAGATAATGAGAGAGATAACTTAAATGTATGCCAGGTAAAGTCAACTATTAAATAAAATCATTCGTTTGGACATACAGTGGGTAGCAAAAATATTTAACACATTTGTTTTTCTTACATATCTCAAAAAATAACATGAATTTCAACGAAACTTATAGGAAATATTTAACCGAATATTGTTGATCAAAAACATAGAAGAAAAATTTTAAACCACTGTTTTGAGAAACATTTTTTAACAATAAATCAAATAACCCATATGCAAATAACACCAATGCAAATATTATGCTAGAAGAGACGTGTTTTCATGATTCCTACCCATATTGATATGATGTGATATGTTGACCAATGACAGCAATGCACGACACTCAACTGGCTATTAGATAACAGCTCTGAGACACTGCAGCTATTCTGTTGTCACTACTGCAAGAAAATGGTGAAAACAAAAGAATTGTCGAACGACATGCGCAAGAAGATCATAAAGATTCACAAAGATGGTAAGGGATATAGAAAAATCGCTCAAGATTTGAATTTGCTTGTGAGTACAGTTGGTGCTTTTGTTCGAAAATGGAAAAAAATCGATACTATTGAAAACATTCAAAGGAATGGTCGTCCCCGTATCTTAAATGAGGCTAATGAGCGATACATTTCCCATACTGTGAAGAAAAATCTATTTTCAACTCGTCGAGAAATTCAGAATCATTTGAAAAATGCCGGAATTGAAGTTAGTAATGATACAATAAAACGATCACTGAATCGTGCAGATCACCTAGAAAGACTCCATTACTGAAACGCCGACATATACAAGCACGTTTGAATTTTGTAAAGAAATATGAAATTGAATCTAATGATTTCTGGGAGAAAGTAATTTGGTCAGACGAAACGAAAACTGAGCTTTACGGACGAAACATACGCACTCATGTATGGAGGAAAAAAGGAGCAGAATACGAGCCAGCAAATACCATCCCTACAGTCAAACATGGGAGTGGAAATATTATGATGTGGGGTTGTTTTTCCTCAAATGGAGTAGGAAAAATGAAAATCATCGAAGGAACAATGAATGCTGCAAAATACACTCAAATTTTTGTCAACTAAACTCTTGAACAGTGCCACATCTTTGGGACATGGTCGTGATTTTGTATTTCAGCAAGACAATGAACCGAAGCATACTGCTAAAACTACTAAGAATTGGTTTAATAATAATGACATTAATGTCCTGGAATGGCCAATCCAGTCACCGGATTTGAATCCAATCGAAAATTTGTGGAAATTATTGAAGTTACGAGTTCATAAAAGAAATCCATCGAATTTAAACAAATTGAAGAAAATTTGTGAAGAAGAATGGGTCAAAATACCAACAATTACCTGCATGAAACTAGTTGAAGACTACGGGAAACGACTGGAGGCTGTGAAGCAGAACAGAGGCTACTGTACTAAATATTAGTAACGTGTGTTAAATACTTTTGTATATGGTTTATTTTGTTTATTGTTAATAAATGTTTCTCAAAACAGTGGTTTTAAATTTTCCTTCTATGTTTTGATCGACAATGTTCGTTTAAATATTTCCTATAAGTTTCGTTGAAATTGATCTGTTATTTTTTGAAATATGTAAGAAAAAGCAATGTGTTAAATACTTTTGCTACCCACTGTATATATGTTGTCATTTTAGAAATCAAAAATGATTCCAGGACCCTTATATAGACGGATCGCTGTGCCACGCATAGACTATTGAAAGAAGCTGAACACTTAAGTGAATTTGCAACACTATATTCCTTCTCTCAATAATGTTCAATAAGTACGCTCTACTTCAATCTAGATTTCATGATTCATGTTACTAAACTCTTTGCATTTATTCAACATATTATAGTATCTCTATCTTCATTAGCATCATTAGAGTGTATAAGGATAAGTTCAGGTGGTGTAATGGATAACGGTTTGGAATGAGGAAGCGGAGATCCGAGTTCAAATTACAGCCGGGTACGTTGCATTTATTTACAAGCAAATAATGTCGGGAAAGTTATTAATCCCTCTTCTCACGTCATCTATGAATTAAACTTATATCTAGAATAATCATTTTTATTCTCACTAAATTGTCAATGAAATACACACTCGAAAAATGTATCATTCTTACATTAAAAAAATACGTTTCGTCTTTATGTAAAACACAAAGGGCTGATAAGCCATAAAAATGACATCAAAACAAATAGTCCACGTAAGGGAAAAGAATATGCTTCTGGAGGCGTATCGAGATAGCTAAAGAGGCATTGCAAAGTTAAGCATAGTATTAAGAGACTGAAAAATTTCGTTAGAAACAAAAAAAATATTACTGACCTCTTACGTGATATATGTCCAATAATATGGAATTGAATGCTGGACAAATTGAAGAAGAGTCTTGAAGCACCAGAAATAAGGTTCTACATAAAGAAGGTGAGGATACCATAGACTGAAAGTGTGAGCATCGATCTAATTTTCGAGCAAATGGAAACAAAAATGTAACTTACATATCATCAGGAAGAGATTGTTAAAATTTCTTGGGCTCATTCCAAGGAAAGTGGACTGTGGAAATTTGATACTCACAGGGCAGATTGTAAGCACGAGTCACAGGAGAAAACAACGCATAACCTACCTTGTGAATATGAGTAAATACATATCGGAAAATTATTTAGGGAAAATCACAAAAATAAAGAAGTTTGTCTATATTTCTAATCAAGAACAAGGATCACTTCGCACCCAAGACGTATAGGCAGTTATCGCAGCGTTACAGCAAGTTACCTCACATATACGGTCTCCCTAAGATTCACAAAGACGGTATTCCCTCAGGCCGATTGTTATTGCCAAGGCTCTGTGTGCCACCCTCTGAGTCGCTTCCTTGTAGATATAATTGACCCATTGATCGGAAAAAGTCTCCTTCATATGTCCGAAACTCCGCCCACTTCGTGAAATAATCAAAGATGCTCCCATCCTATCCAACCTGATGGTGAGCTTGGACGTGGGTGAGTCTGTTCACCAAGGTACCCACAGAGGAGGCACTCTCAGTAGTCAGAGATAGATTAACCTCTGACTCTTCCCTAGAGGAGCGGACCAGTATTCTAATAGATAATCTGATGGAGATGTTGACTTTCTGTTTTCAAACAACACACTTCGGAATGGGATCTCACATATACCGACAGGATGAGGGCTTAGCAATGGGCTCGCCATTATCACCAGCAATGGCGAATATATACATGGAATACTTTGAAGAAATGGCATTAGAGTTTATATCGCTAAAGCCAACTATATGGTTACGGTACGTAGATGACACTTTCATACTCTGGCCACATCAGGAAGAAGTCCAGGTTCTTCTGGACCATGTGAACTCAATAAGACCTTCGATACAGTTCACAATGGAGAAAGAGAGTAACAACTCACTCCCATTCCTGGATGTACTAATATCTCGAACAGAGAATGGGTTCCAAGACATCCGTATACCGTAAAACCAACATTCACCGGACAGTACCTCAATTTCAACTCCACCATCCATACAGCGTAAAGAAAGGATCGTCCGATGCTTACAACACCGAGCAAAAGTCATAAGTGGCGATCCAGAGACGTTAGATAAGGAATTGGTCAGTATAAAGTAGTACCCTAAACGCAACAACTACCCTGGGTACATGGCAGCAGCCTCCAAAAACTGGGATAGGCGGGTACAAGAGGAGGAGGAGGAGGAGGACAAAAACACTCAGAAAACAGTCTGTGGGATGCCTTATGTGAAGGGGTTATCAGAGAAAATACAAAGGATCTGCGGTCCATATAATATCAGGACAACCTTCAAAAGCGTGACAACACTTCGCAGGTATCTCTCACAGTGAAAACCCCATAGAGAGGAAAAACATGACTAAAGACTGTGTGTACGCTATCCCATGCAGCTGCGGAAAGGAATATAAAGGAGAGACAGGCCGCCCCCTCAAGGTAAGGCTTCAAACACCACCAAGCTGTAACGCGAGGGGAAGTAGAAAAAAATCAGGCGTGGCTGACCACATATGGAGAGAGAAGGAGATCACCGCCCACTGTCTCGATCATGTTGAGTTCATAGACCCAGGGAACACCATTGGAAAATTCGTAAACTTAAGAATCCAGCACATATGCTAGGCCACAAAAATCTCCTGAGCCGACCAAGCATAGAAATAAATACAATATAGGAACCAGTATTAAGGAGTGCCAGAGAAAAGCAATGATAACAAAGTTGCAATATGAACTCTGGTAAAGACATGCAATGATAACAGCAAAAATTGCAATATGAGCACTGGTAAAAATGATTCTGAAAACATAAGATTTATAATACTCAGAAGTTCATACCCAGATGTCCTCAAGGACACATGACACAGTGGATAAAGGCGTTGGTTAGATCCAGTGACAGACCCAAAGAAGGTGAGTTCAATTCCTGGTTAAGGCAGTGGAGAACTTTCAGAGGGAAAATTAGCAGGAGATAACTGATAACTGACATCCATCAAACATGGCACGTGGAATTAGAACAGTCTACCGCAGCGATCGAAATAAAGGGTTCAGTTCGAAATTCCAACCACCTGAAGAAGGCCGGAGCGTACAACGGCCGAAACGTTGTGACAAATATGACGACAAAGATGAGGACAATAGTCCGACTAATGTAAATACTGTAAAAAATAAAGAACTTAAGAAAAGCTGCAAAGAGCAGGAAGCTGTGGAGAGTCATGATCGCTTACCTCCATATAAGAAACGGCACATAAAGAAGAATATGAGAAAGAAGTGACAGGCTTTATTGGTGCTGATTCAACTCTCTAGTGTTTTTGCGTCTTCGGCACTGGCTATCTATCTTTTCTCTCACCTGTCGAAATGCCTGCTTTGGCAACAAGACTTCAACTACTGTGATCTTGAGAGAGAAGATTTCTGTGGCTTTTGGATTGTTACCGCTTCTCTTCTCGTTTTTGCAAACAAGTAAGTTTAAATTGTTCTGGTTTTAATTAGCATTGGAACCATTTCCTCAGCACATACCCTTCTCGTTCTCTTGGTTTGACTTAAGCAACTCGAAATGCCCATTACAAGTTTAATACGAAATACATTTCACTAACTCACCAGATATCAAATGTTTACATTTTATATTACATACACAGGAGGGAAGACTTTCATCGCAGAAGCTTACATTTCTAATTCATCACAAAAAGAGTAATTTGCGCAAATAGATATCGCTCGATACATTTATTCGAAAGCGTTATGTAGTTGAATATGTGCTCCTGGTAAATGATTGAATTCTCATTATAGAATTATGATTTTTAGGCAATGTTTCTGATTGATTATGTTGTTTGTTTAACTGCTTATCAACTAATTATGGATCATTTAATCATATTATTACTTTTCTTGAGAGATTTGAAGTGATACAAATATACTTTACATTATTCCGCTTTCACAACTGAATACATGATAGATAATGCTCAGCTTTTTATGTCTGTGTTGACATAATTAATACAGGCGGTGATATGTGTGTTTTATCCTGGAATTTTGTTGAAGTTACATTTTCGAATATAATTCGATTCAAGATAATGTAGGATATTATCTGGACTAATGTGTTGTTTCCTGTTGGTTGGTTAGTTGGATGATTTTTATGGGTTATTTAACCCAGAAATCTATTTTTTTTATGCAATTTTATATTTTACCTACGTATTTTTTTGTGCAACATTTTATACTTTCAGAGTAAAGATATGTCTTTCAAGTATATATATATATATATATATATATATATATATATATATATATATATATATATATGTAGATGATAAAAAATATTGTTGGTAATTTTTATAAAATGTATTTTACATTTATGATGATCATTTCATTATAAGTATGTACTATTTATTTTTGTTCAG